GTTACCATCGCACCCAACTACTGCTCTTGTTACATCCAGTATTGATATTTCCCTTCGTGCTTCACACTCTATTAATTCTTCTGCTACCTTTGCTGCTGTGACTTCTAATCAATCAACTGTTACTTTCAACTCTATCTGGTCTGATTTTCTTTACCTCATCTTTTTCAAATTAAGTGTTGGATTAGACATTATGAAGATAAATTCTGCTGCCATTTGGACATCTTTGAGAGTTGTCACTAGTTCAATAGCTTCTTTAATTTTGTCACACATGATGAAGGTTGTTACTCCAAAAGAATATGACTCTATTCGGACTGTCATTGCTGATTCTTCGCGTGTTATTGCAAAAGTCAACACTCACACTCAGGATTATTATCATCTTTTAGTTTGGATCTATGGTCATCTCAATTTTCAGCTTATCTTTTGGTTTCTGGTCTTTTATTGGGTTTATGTCAAGATCTGGCCCTCAAAATCACGCAAATCTTCCAACAACCAAGTCACCGTTAAAATTGTTAGTCAAGGTACCTTCAATCAGACTCAAACTTTACCTTCACCATCTCACTCTTTCTTGATGTCAAGTTTTCGTGCTCTTTCTCAATTGTTTTTGTTCCCATCACGCTCTAACCCAGTGCGTTATTACTTTGCCTCATTTGATTTGAAATCCCAGCCTTCCATCAATGAGTTTCTAAATCGGTTTATCCCCGTGGTTCACTCCAAGTCACCATCTTTTGATTCCTCCTCCGTTTTTGCTGCTCTTGTGCGTGCTCTCCCAGACACCAATGTACCAATTATGCACTCTTTGGAAGACAACCTGCACAAATTTCACAATGTGACTCAACTCAAACGTTTTTTGTTAGCACACAAACTGTCAGACGAACAAGTTGAGAGCCATGTCACCCATGCAAAAGTGTTTTACGTTTCTGAGGTCCCTTTGGTTTTATCTTCTTCTGCCTTGCGTCAATTGTTTACTGAAATGTCCAAAGACTACTATTTGTCATTTGTTAGTGATTGTTCCTCATATATGGAGACTCTTCTTACTTATGGGTGTTTGAGATCTGTTAAACGGAAGACTTATTTTAGAAAACTGGCTTCACGTTATCAAGATTTTAATCTTTTGGCTTTTGAACTTGCCCGTATGCGTCATCTGGATGGTTTTGTTATCTCTTTGAAGAATGATTCACCTCCTGCTGCTCCAGCTTCACGTCCTCATTCTTCACCTCCTGTTGTTCCAGCTTCACGTTCTCATTCTTCACCTCCTGTTGCTCCAGCTTCATCATCTTCCTCACACTCTGGTTCTGATTCCGTTGCTGCTCAATCCCCTTATGCTCGTCATGCTGTCAGATTTCATACTGCTCTTCTTGGTGCTAAATCTTCTTTACCTTCCTGTGAGTTACATTTTGCCAATGGTACACATCTGCCAGCTCTGATTGATACAGCTTCCACGGATTCTTTCATTTCCCGAGATCTTGTTGACACATTGGAGGCACTTGTTTATCAAGATCCAACTCAACCCAATCGTCTGGTTTCCACTGTTACAGCAACATCCCATACTGAACCCAACTTGTTAGCTACTCTTGGTTTCACATTGGCTGATATTACGCCTTCGTCGGTGATATACCACCACACATTTGCGGTCATCGAGAAACCTGGGTTATTGGCACTTGGGATGGATTTCATTGCCTCCCATAATTTGGACGTCACTGCTCTTTTGGCTCAACATCAACCTCCACCTCCTCCATCTTCCTCTTCCGTTGCCACTTCTTCCAATTTTCAGTCTCTAGTTGATGAGGAATTTTTGCCCCTTATTCTTCAGGATGAACCATCACTTCCTCGTTCTTCACCTTATGATTATGAATTACTTCTTCACTCACCCATCTCAGATCTTTCTGCTCGTCCATTGATTCATATGACTTTTGAAGATCAAGCTTTCCTTCAACAAGAAATCAACAGGTTACTTCATCAAGGTTTTATCACTTCTGTTCCACCAACCTCTCATTATTCTGTTCCTTTTGTTGTTACTAATGGTTCCAAAAAACGTCTTGTGGTGGATTATCGTCAGCTCAATCAACTTACTGTTGTTATCCCTGCTCAACTTCCCACTTTTGATGACTTAACCATGAATCTTCACGGTAAATATGTGTCCACTCTTGATATCACAGCTGCTTATCATCATATCTTACTCACACCTTCATCTGCTGCTGCAACAGTTTTCAAAACGCCATTTGGGTTTTTTCAATTTCAGGTGCTTGCCTTTGGTATGGTCAACGCTCCAGAATTGTTCCAGCGTATGATTAGTGAGTTGTTGTTTCCACATCATGAGTTTGCCCGGGTCTACATGGATGATATTCTCATCGTCTCTGACTCATTGGACGACCATGTTGCAAATGTGAAACAGGTTTTGCTGACATTGAAAGAAAATGGGTTGCATGTCAATTTATCAAAATCCAATTTTTTCGCGAAAGAAGTAAAATGGTTGGGGCACAATTTTTTTGTTGGTAATGATGGTGTTCTTTCAATTTCTCCTTCTGATAAAACTGCTTCTCTTATCAAGAATTGTCCACCACCTCTTACTAAGTCTGAACTTCAAAGGTATCTTGGTCATTTGGCTTATGTTCATAAGTTTCTCCCAGGTTTTGCTGAGTTAGCTGAACCATTCCATCAGTTGTTGAAAAAAGGTGTTGTTTTTAAATGGACTTCTGAACATCAACAAATCTTTGAGAAATTGAAAAGTTTGGAACTTTCTGCTTTCACTTTACATCCATATCAAGCTGGTAAACCATTGAAATTAGCATGTGATGCAAGTAATCATTCTGTTGGTGCTGCTTTGTTACAATTGCAAGAAAATGGTTGTTATTTTCCAATTGGTTTTCGTTCTCAAGCTCTCAATAGTTTCCAACGCAATTGGTCCACCACTGAGAAAGAATTATATTCTATCAAATGGGCTTTAAACAAATTTCAATATTTTATTGATCAATCATTAGAGATCGTTGTTGAAAGTGATCATAAGCCGTTAGTTCAACTATTTCACTCCCAGTCATCGTTATCTCCAAAGCAAATGAGATGGATCACAGAAATCTCTACAGCTGCTAAGATTCGTTTGGTGTTTGTTGAAG